TCTTAATTTAAGTAACGGTGATGACTAGGCTTAGGGACTTCTAGCATTTGCATACTTTTTTTAATTATTGGTAAATATAGCAGAGTGCGAAATAAATTCGTTTCTCGGTGCCAAGATATCAGATCTAAAATTTAAATGTGCATATTTTTGCATATTTGAAAGATTTTGCAGGAGAGTGCATATTTTGATAAATTTTTCAAATTTAAAATTAAAAACTATAAATACATTTAACTATATATACATATTTCAACCGATAGGAAAAAAAAATGTATTAAGAGGACTTAATGCTTCCAGTAATATGCTATTTGCAAACTACCTCTCATATCTCGTTATGATTTTTGTGTAAGTATAAATAATGCTATAAACCATAGAGTAATATAGAAAGAAAGGAAGTGCCATGCTATCTATCGAGATTTAGACTTTCAAACCGATGAAGTTATCGATGACTAGAATTTATAATATAATTTATGATTTTGTTATAGTAGTTTGACAATCGTTTGATTTCAATAAGTTAATAAAAAACCTAACAATAAGTTGATAAAGAACATTTTATACTAATTTATAAAATTATTTCACTATTAGGTATGATACCCCCCCCCCCAAAAAAAAAAGTTTCATAAGTTTCTGAATACGCCACTGGTATAGGTTAATACTACGGTAAGAGTAGGCGGTTGAATGTCGATCACGATGGTTGTACTCGCGTTGATTATAAAATAATGACGCTGCACTGTTTTCTTATAGCCTACTACAATAGTGCAGCCACTTGCGCACTCTTGATTTCTTGACTTGTAACTCGGATGTACGTCAAACCTACACGGGTAAAATAAATTTTAGTATGAATATTTGAATATCTATAAAAACAATATTTAGAATACTATGTATTTGAATACTGCATGGTAGCGTTCGGTTCTGAACATTTTGATTTTCGTACAAAGGGCACTGTAAATTATACAACATTTTATTGAAAATATAAATAAAACAAATTATAATAATAGAATATGAATATTTAGTTAGTTTTCAATCACATGCTATACAATTCAAGTTGATAACAATTGAATATATTCATATATTTTATACGTTGGTGTTCAACAAAAATATTTAAAATATTTTGGCTGGAGTCTCAAACGTCAAATAAAAAATTGATTGGTGTACTGAAAAAGTTTTTTTTTTATGAACAAGTTATTTTAGATAAAATAATAAATGTTTTCAAAAAAGTTAATTAAAAATATATTACAATACGTAACTGAACCTTAAAGTTGGGCTAGTAAAATGGATGCAATACGACTACGAACGTTTTTATAACAAGATTGTGAACGAATATAGTAACAATAATTAAAATTGGGGCATGTCCTAACGATAGAGTTAAAATGAGTCGTTCAAGGATTGAGTTAACAATATTACTTATTTACATTCATATGAAATTCAGTATTATAATAATGAATTTTGATTGTCGTCTTGATATCGTCTCTGTCAATAATATCCTAACCGACACTTGTCTATGTATAAAACTGTCTACATCTGCTTAACGGTTTGCAGCTGTCTGATTTGTTTATTTTGTTGGCCCCTTTTCGTATGGTTGTTCACAGAGTTTCACATGGCCTAATGGGTGGTGAAAAAACATGTAGATTTTTCTACGACATTCTTTAGTTCGTTTATAATGTTGCACGAAAGGACGATAAAAATTATTCCTACGGTGTTATAATTGTCATTAACTAGTATTGTTAAATTCATTAATGAAAGAATTCCAACATACTCATGTATACTTTGTATTTTCAAGTATTTTCTAGCAACAAGTAAAAAAAATGTATAGTTTATATATTATTCTATTTTTAGTCTAATTATCGGTAAACTCTTTTTTTTTTATCAACTAATTTTTTTGTTCGACGAAAGAGAAAATTTTTTGAATCAAATACTCAAAACATATTTTTCTATTTGTATCTAAAGTTTCATTCCGATTGGGTGGATTAATATCTTTTAAAAATCATTTAAAGATAAAAGTTGATGTAATAACAGTATATCCCGTAAATATTGTATAATAATTTACTTAAACGCTTATAAAAAGAAATCCTGACAAACGAATTTTGAAATTTTTTCAATATCGTTAGGTAAGTGTATAAGTAAAGTGATATTAAATTTTCAAGTCTTAATATCCAAATTTTCATCCACATTCATACTACTTACTATGTTTTTTGGCAGTTTTTCCTAACGCCTGAAAAAACTATTGAAATTTTAAAAAAATGAGGTTTCTAAAATACCACTGAAAGCTGATTTAGATTGTACTTAAGTTACTAAATGAAAATTTTGGACCAGTATTTCTATCCGAAAAAATATTTACAGAAAGAAAATAAAAAATAAATATTATGATAAAACTATAAGATTCATATTATTCAGAATCTAAAAGGAACAATTATTATATTTTATCTATGAAAAATTATGCTAACAGTAGTGATTCAAACGTTAAAGAATTCGATTACCCTCGTTGTTCGTGGGTGATAATTATTTACGAACTTTGCTAATAACCATTAATGTTTCAAATTTCCTTATACATTTCATTATTATTTAAGTGAAATCAATGATACTTAAGTAAATACTCTTTATTGCAATATAATAAAGTAATATTAATTGTCGCATAGATCGGGCATCGTTACCACGTTTTATCGTTCTTATGGATTGACTTTGGTGGATGAAGTAGAAGAGGGACTTCATTGACAAATCTTTTTTCATCGATAAACGCATATAGTATTTCTCAAATATTTCTTACTAAGCTTGATATTTTACTTTAATGGCTAACCTACCTATTTCATATTTTTCAACGGTTTCTTAATATTCCTAATCATTTTTGTTTTGCTGAAAGTTTTGTTATACTCGGACGACTATAAATAAATAACACTTTTCTTATAATAATTATTAAAAAACCAATCTATGTGATTATTTAAATTAAATATACGTTTATTGGATGTATTTAATTTATAAAATAATATGATAGTAAATATAAACGAGTTACACTGTAAATTAAAGTATTTACGTATATAGGTACCATATACTATATACTAATATGATTTAAATGAATATACTTTTCGCATATACTCATAATACATAAAAATATACATATTTTTTAAAACTATTTAAAAGTCAGTGATTTATTATTAAAAAAACAATTGTTCTTGTATAGTATTTCAAAGAGTTTTACATTATATGATTATGATATAAAAATTTAGATTGAACCGAAGTATTTGAACTTTGGTATGTTCTTCGTAGCATTTGGATGTATTTAAACCAATGATAAATATAATACCATTTTAATGAAATGATTTTAAAAGAAGGTCTGTGTAATATAATTGTATTGCATTGAATATCTATTGAAAAAAAAAAAAAATCGAAAAATGAAAACTGCATGAAGTTCTAATTGGGTCTCGATCTCCGATGTAATGAGATATACACAAACATTGATGAACATCTACTATCTACTATCATAGAAAAAATAATTGCTATTTTAAAATAAAAATATTTTTTTTCACGTCCAAAATCTGCAATTCAGATTATAAAGTACAACGAAAAACATTAAAAAAATTATAAGATTAATCACTTTTAATTTATGATTTTAATATTATATATTCAACATGGATATTATTTGAATACTTCTAAAAATGTTTTATGAAAATGTACTACTATCTATAACATTCTATAAAAGCTGAAAATACAAAATGTAAAATTTGAAAACCCAAGGGACGGACGAATTCAATAACTCATTTTCGAGTTGAAGTGACTAAAATTACATTGAAAGTAAGTAAATTGTCCATTTTTCGATTTATAGTAGTTTTCAAGTCCGATCGGGTCTTCATATAATTTATTGGGCGAACGTATTAAAATGAATAAAATCACCGTATTTTTTTTATTTTTTTTTTTTGTATTAAAATCGAGAAAAAAAATCCAAATCATAATGTATGTAAAACCAAAAATTATAAACTAACACACAGTTATCCGTAACTTTTTTTTTTATAGATGTACTTAACAATTCTCGGTTTATGCATCTGTAGACGGAAACATTTTCGTTTTCGATGTAGATCGAATACTTAAAACACAATATTTCCCATCGAAATATCGCCAAAACCGTGTTTGCGTTCGGAAAATTGAATCACATGGCATGGAATAACATTCGTCGTCTTTCCATCGCAGGACCGAGAAAACCGGACTCGGAGTTGAGAAGCGACGTGACAATGTGTTGTCGATAACGGAACGGAACGTATGCACGTGATCGCTCTTTAGCAGCGACCTGGGGATAGCTATAAGACCTGCCCGAATAAAATTTACAAATGCGACAGTAAACTTGGTGCCGAGAATAAACCGTGAAAAGCGTAGCAGTAAACCGTGTTAGCTGCATAGGAAGATCAAATATTAAACCTTCTGTTATTGCGGTGGTAAAATGTGCTCGTGCGGCCGACGCGGACGATCAACGACGGTACGGCGTTTAATATTTCAATGGGGAAAAAAAAAAAAAAATAAAAAATAAACAAATAAAATCTGTAAAAGGGTACAACAAAAGTATGTATAAATATATACGAAAATGACGCGCGTACACAAAGGGTAAAAAGATGTTTTAATTCAAACGTCCCGGTGGACGACGGAACGCGCGGGGAGGGATGCGAATCCAGGGCCGGGAATATCGCGGCCGTACGGGGCACGATCACGGCGGTTTGTGGAGGTTGTGCGCACCACGTGGACACCGCACCGAACCGGAACGTCGGCATTGGCGAAGGCGTCCCATCCCTGCGCCGCCGCCGCCACTACCGCCACCGCCACTGCCGCCGCACCGTCACCGCCACCGCCGACCGCGACGACAGTCACCGCTACCGACGCCGACGACGCGCTCGGTCGCCGTCGGCATACGCACACTGATACGCTCACGTCGCCGTCGAGCGACCGTCAAACGACCGAGCGGCATTCTTGTCCGGACACCGGAGATCATCCCCGCCTGAGAGGACGCTGCTTCTTCAGCCACCATGGTCCGGCCACCGGTGGCCACCGAGATGCTCCTGACCCTGTACACGTTCTCCTGCGCGTGCACCATCGCGCTGGACGGTGAGTAGACCAGCACGAATATCGTATTTATTTATTTTCCATTTTTGTTGTGGTTGTCGTTCCCGGCGTTTCGTTATCGTTGCGAAGTGCCCATAACGCCATGGAAATTGACGGAAGAGTAGAAAAAAATTTAAAAAAAAAAAAAAATTAAAAAAATTAAAAATTCGAAAAAAAAACCTTTATCCGTATACTGTGTTATGTACTCCTGCACCCAAACCGTAGACGTTTACGCGTTTCCGGTTTCGTTGTTCCCGGAACGTTTGCCCTGCCTTTCGATTCTTGCCCGGAACCATAAACATTTACGTTCGGCTTTAATGGATACTCTAGTGTAAACCTTTATACTTCTGAACACCGATGAAAACGTCAAATGCGCCCGGTTTTCGTCCTTCCTTAATACATGTTCGATTTCATCTCACCTCCTCCATCCGGTTACCTATATTATTTTGCTTAACATATTTTAAATTAAAAATTAAAATTAAACTTTTCTTAAATTTTGCTTCCTCTAGACGGACTTCGTATTTCGGCCGCTTCGCCTATCCGAGTTTATTTCTATAATTATTTTATATTCCAATTACGGTGTTTTGTCAACGGAAACATTGGAATATGAATGGTGCTTTTGGACGAAAAACATTTTTACTCGGTCGCTTACTGAGAATATTCAAATCCGATGTCAGTCTTATGTGTTTGGATGCGATTGTTGTGAGCACCGATTACTTGAGCAATACGAATATTTACGTATTTTTATTAATTTTGGTTATGCGGCGTGAATTCGACAGGTATATATATTTTATGGCAATTACTAGACCGTTATTAATTGAAATAAATTTTTGTCGAAACTAATTGTTGGTCAATTCAATATAACACCGGCCACTGCAAAAATATTAAACACTTAATATAAGTTAAGAATTATTTCATAGTTTTTCATCCAAATTCTTGTTGATTTTTTTACTACTTTAAGAAGTTATAGAATAAACAAATTTTAGTTGAATACGAAAACGCATTTTAAAATGTCACTAACGCAAAATCATAAAAATATCCAAACACTGCCTCCAAACTTTGAACATTATTATTTATATTTTGTTACGTTATGGAATAAGCTGCTCGCTTAACTAACATAATCGTATATCTAATTCGTTTTCAAAATATCGTGTGTCTTGTCTTGTGAACGAAGTATCATAAATTTCGGTGTACGGACGTAAATAAAAATAAAAATTATATATATATATATATATATATCTATGCATGCACATTCTCGCCAGACAAATCACGAAAAATATGTGAAAAACATTGCGATTGTACGCCGTTGAATCGAATATGGATTTGTATACGGATGAAGGTTGGTTCGCGTTCAGGTTTAATAATACTATTGCTACGATACGGGTATACTATGAAACCGTATTGAAGTGTACCAATACGCAGAATGTAATACACGCGTTGCTTTTTTTTTAAGCTGTAAGATTTCATAAACGCTACACAATTTAAAGCGAATACGGTTCTAAGTTTTTGCTAAGGGTAAAGATGAAAACTCGCGATCATTCGCGTCGAATAATAAACAGTCTTTTTTTATTTATATATATATTTTTTTTGTGTATGGATAGGGGTGAGATGCGGCCAAGGATCTCTAGGGATAATTTCAAAGGGACGACGGAGATATTTATTATTTAGCCATTTTGTGTTGCGTTAAGTCGTAAATTTAAATCAGAAAGCCGACGTTATTCGAAGTTAATTTGTGTTGAGAAAAAATACCTCTGTGACCTATGCGACATTTGTTGAGTCATAAACGCGTTCAGTAAAAATATACACCTGCAAGTGTCACTTTTACTGCCTTTGTATACCTTTGTTATTCATCCAATTTTATGTAAGATGTGAAAAAATTGAAATTTACGGTTTATACATTCAATATTTCAACGTTTAATAACTACCGTTTTAAAATTATTTATATGAGAACATACCTAAACAAAATGAGCTCTCAAAAAAATAAGTATTACCTAACTATAACTACTTGTATACTTGTAATAAAATATAAATTATTGATTGAAATATTTCCAGATTATAAATTACAAATTAATTTATATTAATGAGGACTGATTATTATAGAGGCTTGGATACAATAAAATATATATTTTTTTTTATATTAAGGTAAAAATATTTAAAAAAAGGCGAAAAAATTAATTTATTTTTAAGGTTTTATTTCTTTATTATTAATACCTTTATTTTTATTTATTAAGTTTTCAAATTTTGTTTTTAATATTTTAGAATAACTAAATGATTTTTATTTTTTATTAAAAGTTTGAAGTTATTGAAAAATCATATTGGTGTTTATACATAATATGGAATGAAAACCATAAAAATGGCTTAAAAAAATATTTTGTTATACTAACTTATAATAATAATAATACTAATAATAATGACCTACGTCGTAATAAATAATTTTTGGAAATTTGATTAAAAATGCATGTCATTAAATATGTAATAAAAACAAAAAAAAAGTGGCCTTCATATTAAAACGTATACGTAATAGATTGAATATAATTAAATATGAAATAAAAAAAAATATATATAACTGTCTTACAAAATTGAATAAAAAAGTTATTTAAAAAATTGTTCAATTTATAGACTTTGTTAGAAAACTGGCATAATTTTCATCAACACATTTCCTCTAGAATATAAGTAATAATCCATAATATAATTTATAATGCTCAATCACTTTATCAGGATTTGAGTACTCACTTTATCTTTACCATCATAGAATTTATATTATTTGCAAATTTACTAAACAGCAGTGTGTAATTATGACGGAGAAAACTCATGCATTTTCCATAGTCTAGAGCAGTGGTTTTCAATCTTTTTTGTTTGACGACACCCTAATTTGGATCTATAAAAATGGCGACACACTTGAAAATATTAATGGATTTTATTATTATTGGAAATTTTATTTAAAAATTTAAAACTTAAAAAAAAGTCTTAATTTCTTGATTGAAATTAAAAAGTTTAAAGAAAGTTTTATGAAAAACAGTATTAGTTCTTAAATATGCAGGCCTACATAGGTCTTCGATTCATGGGCAAATGGTTAATAAACTTTCGCGTAATTTACTGTCAATATTTTTTTTGCTTTTTGTTATTTCTAATATCGAATATGCTGATTCAGACATGTACGATGTTGAAAAGAATACGAAATTTTTAATTCTTATTATTCCTGTGTATTGAATTTACAGAGAAATTCGAAATGAATCATTTTGAGACATATAAAATTTAGATTTTAACGTTATATTTTATGATATTTCTAAAAAATAAAAATCAATAAAAATATCATTATAATTTTTTTTTATATGCGGCTTTTATTATTTCATCATAATTCCGTAATAATATACGTTCATACTTTGAAAGCTTATAATTTTAATTAATAATATTTTGGTGACACACTCCAAAGTAATACGTGACACACTAGTATGTCGCGACACACCGGTTGAGAACCACGGGTCTAGAGCTTAGCTATTCCAAAGCCAACACATCATCAAAATATAATTACGTCTTTTATAAAGCCTTACACATATTATAAAAAAGAACAATGAGACCTATATTATGCGGGTATTTTTGTATAAATTACAAATTATTATATTTTTGGACTGGTTTAACGTCTTCCACCTCACGTTAATCGGCACTTTGGTAAAATGAGCCACTAAATAGGTAATTTAATAGAAACATGTGGACTGCCCTACTCTAGAAAAATGATATAGAAATTTTGCCACTGCTAAAGAATATTTTGAACTTCAGTAACTGTCCATATAATATTTCATTAATTAATAGTTTTCGATATTATCTTCTTAATTAAGTATCCATTTATTTGTTATCATGTATCTAAAAATCTATTAATAAGTTATAATGACCAATGCTTCCGAGGACTTCTCAAAAAATAAAATATATATTCTTTTAAAATAATAATAAAACCTATTTCGAATTAATATATTTAAAACTTTGTTATTTAAGGAATAAGTAAAATACGGACATTATTTTTCAAATATCGGTAAATGTACTGCATTCCGTAGAGTAAATATTTTTACTTACCTGCTATCTACGATTCTATAATTTTACTATGAAAATAAAAACCGACTCTAATCACTCCACAAGAAATTACTGCGGTTCAACAAAATTAATAAATAACTAGATAAACTAAATCTTGACCGTCGTATCAAAGTCCAAAGAGTTTTTCATGTACAACCGTTGTGCACTTCCACACCCTGGATAGGTTGATTACTCACTGATTGTCCTGTTGGTTTCGCGTATAATCCCTGATCTACCAAAATCCTTTTAATACGTGTCGCAGTTGCCTGGCCGAATAATCGCAGACGTATTAGTTGAATGGCTACAAGATGCCAACAACGACATATCGGTCTGCGGTACCCCACTCATTTTGCGAAAATATTATTGTGAACTTGGTAACGGAATGAAAAAACATTCTAAAGCTATAGTCAAATGAAATTCGTTAAACAGTGTTGGCAAGAAGTGATCAAAGTTTAATGAACAAAATGTATTATATACACCCAACCTAACGTATGTCCATCCCTGTTAGAAAAGAAAAAAGTAATAATAATAACGAACAATATGTATTATACGTAAATAATATACTCGTATACACTCGGTATCGCGCATTTCCAGTCTCGTTAGAGATCAGCGTAAAAAATAAATAAATAATAATAATAACGCATCTGATGTAGGTACTCGGAAATCTATATTCCATTTTGTCGTACAAGTATTTTTTTTTCTTCAAATAATCATAATCAACATGTATTGTGACATGACGAACGAGAGAAATAAAATCAAGTCTAGAATAGTTTACATATAAAACAGTCTAATTACAATATTATACGCACGAACTAAACAAAACGCAAAAGCTTCTGGCCGTTTAAAATTGATCATGAATGGTTTGTTTTACACGACCCTTATTCAGTTTAATCTAATATTTCGTTAACATTCATTTATACTTATCGTCCGGTATTAAT